TGATGTCCCATAAATATTATCTAGAAAAGTCTGTTTATCTGGCGCATGGAAAAATACCGCTTCACCGACCATAAAGAGCATGTTAAATTTGTTGTGCCGAAATCGCATGATTAAATTTTTTTGGTCTTTAGATCCAAGATAAGTTCTTTCATGGCATACTTGCTCCATTTTTTTTCATCCTCCCCTACTGCACAATCTTTACAGAATGTCCTCAGTAATCTCAAAGTGCCGCTTTCAGATTTATGATAACGCTTAAGCCTTAAATATGTTGCTGATTCGATATTATCGGTTGTATGATTTTTTTTTCAAATTTCAGGATTGAGCTTTCACAATTATCAGCCATGCCAACAAAGAGATGTAAACCACAAAAGGAGTTATTCATGTTTCCACAAAGCTCCTGCTGTTCTGTTGACATTTTTTCATAATTGTCAATCACATGACGTAGACACTCTTGTCTTTCGAGAAATTGTTTAATGTCTTTTCTGTACTTGCTCGGTCGGACATAGTATTACGGATATTTTTTAGTATATCATAACCAATACCAAGATCTTGCTTTTTGTCACAGTGTGTTGAAATATCACTTACAATCTGTTTTAATGTCTCTGATGTTGAACCACTTTTGTCTGACATTTCCCTTAAGACAAGCATATATGAGCTATCATTGTCACTAATAACATATGTTTTTCCCATGCTTTCTTGTTTCATCAGTGTACTTAGAGGTGCTGTCGAAGACGCTGCAACCTTTCCTAGTTGCTTGTGAGCTAGGGTAACTTTGTGATCAACAAATGAGTCAACTGCTTGCCGAAAAGGTATATTCAGTAAAGTTTTGCCACAAAGTTTACCTATTTCTTTGATAACTGGTTCAACATTGCTGGTCAAGTTAAATCTGCCAAGTTAAGTGTTTTTCTCTGGATCCATCAGGTTAATAGGAGGTGTGTTTTGGACAAGAGATTCAAGATAGGTAACATCAGTTATAAGTTCATTATTTGAAAATTTTAATTTTCTATTTCCTTATTCAAACTCATTTATATTGAATGTTTTAATTTCAACTTGTTTCTTTAACAAGTAAACAATCTTTTTCATGTTTCATTGATTTAATATCCCTTGCCATGTTCTTCATATGAAGATGTGTGGTAGCAAGTCTCTTTTTATGCACCGGGCATATAGTAATTGAGCTGTCCGTCTGTCTGTCTGTCCGTCCGTCCGTCTGTCCGTACGAGGTTAAACTAGAACGACAAGTTGGAGTTTTTTTAAGTTCTACCTGTACCAATGGCTTCTTAGTTTACACACTTACTAATCGATACAAAGTACATGATCTGGTCAAGTTGCATAACTATGGCTTCCATATTTACCAAGTTATTGCCCTTATCAGCACTTAGAAAATGAATAATGGTTAACCTTAAACGGCAAGTTGGAAATATCTTAAAATTTAACTATACTTATGGCTTGATAATTTCCACACTTACTTATCAATGCTTAGTACATGATATTGCCAAGTTATATAGCTGTGTCATCCATATTTCCCAGTTATTTCCCTTTTTTCACTTTGAAAATAAGGCCTTGTCTGGTTAACCTATTCCAGCAAGTTAGATTTAATGTAAGTTTCTCTTATTTAATGATATCTTGCATATTTGGTAGGTTGTTACCTTTAATGGTCCTCTAATTTTTTGTGGAGTAAGTGGTCTCTAGGGTCAAAGTCAAGGTCACTGGTTTAGGAAATAGATTTAAACATTTTTGCTCATACAGCCTTTATTTTTTGGTTGATGTCTTTCATGTTTAATACAAACATGCCAAGGGAGGTCCTCTTTCTTTGGGTATAGTAAGGGGTCATTTGTCACCAATGTCAAGGTCACCAATGTAAAAATAAGATTTTTACATTTTTACAGGTGTATTAACCATATTTTATAGACAGATGCCATTTATAATTGATAGGAAAATAAAATTTGATGGAGTTAGTGGTCAGTTGGGTCAAGGTCACCAGTGCTAAAAATAGATTTTTACACTTTTGCCCATACAGCCTTTATTTATTGACATATAAATTGCATATTTGGTAGGAAGAAAACTTGCATATTATTCTTACTTTGGATGTAGTAAGGGGTCAGTTGGGTCAAGGTCACAAGTGCTAAAAATAGATTTTTTACACTTTTGCCCATTCAGCCTTTATTTATTTACAGATTTATTTCATTATTGGTTGGATGATAAAATTTTTAAATTTTCGCGACACAAGGCTTTTTAAGCAAAAATTTGGGGTTTTTTGGTTAAATTTTGGGATGGGGAATTTTCGGGAAATTTTTTAAAAAACTTGAACTTTCCCCTTTTTAAACAGTATTAAATAAATTTCAATTCCCTTTACCATTTGTCATTTCCCTTAGGAAAAAGCAATTTTTCATTGAATTTTTTAAAAAAAACAAAATCCGGGGGATTTTGAAATAGGACATTTTGTTTCATTTTTGAAAAAATTTTAACTACATTTATTACTTTATGGTTACTGACTACATTTAAAAAATGATATAATTGTTTGTGATGTTTAGTTACAGATTGCTTCCCCAGTCACCTGATTATCAGTAAAATATGGACAGAGTCAGTCTCAATGTACCAAGTGAATTCAGTTTGAATTGTTTTGTATTAAAAATATAATTAATAATCTATAGAGAACCCTTTAAGAAAGTCTAAAGCAACAAGATTGAAATGCTGCAGTGTCGGTTTTATCGAGTCTGTTCATAGAAGTTATATAGTGGAATGTGCAAACCTGAGGCGCGTTCGGGAAGGAGAGTGCCCTGCTTAAAATAGAGTGCTCGTCTCCTGAACGAGTGCGCGCGAGAGTGTTACCTGTGAGCGCGCGCGAATCGACGATAAAGGAGATTCGCTTGGAATTTCAAGATGGCAGACATTGGAAGTTTAAGCGAGTTATCGCTGCAAAATGTTGAAAATAATCAAAGTTTTACGATTCTAGTGCCTGAGAATCTATTTGAAAAATGTTCAAACGGTAAGATTTATTGTTTTATTAAATTTTTAATGTTCATTTAGAGGTATTATTCGTGTTTTTGGCGATTAATAGAGGTTGTCAGCACGATTTCAATTTCCAGAAAATGAGTTGCACTCAGGAGTCGGGTAGCTTCTCATATTTAATTAAGCAACAGTAGATAGGGCCGAATGAATAAGCGTAAGATTCTCCACTACGTTTATGAACAGCAGGGCTATTTCTAAAGAAGAAAAATGCCTGTTGGAACGGGAGTATTTTTCATGTTTTGAAAGTGGTAAATATCGTTTTACAAATTGAGCAATTAGGGAGATCCCCAAGAATAACTAAATGGACTTGGTTTGATTATTTTTAAAGTAATAATTTCAATTTCTCTCGATTAATTTCAGATCCATTGATTGCTACGCAGATTTCAATAAGATTGAAGAACCGTTCACAACTGATGGTATACCAAAGGAGAGAACTCTAGGTAGGTTGGCCCAAAAAAATTTAGTTGCACATTTTAAGTGATAGAAAAGAAGCATTCTTACAATTAACATGAAAAGTGAGAAGCATGCGACTATGTACATGGTAAATTGATATAAAATAAAATGATAAAAGTTAAAAGACAAACTTGAGTGGATTTTTATTAAGTACCTTTAAAAATTGACATTTGTGTTGTATGCAATTAGTAACAACTTTCAGATTGATTTCACATAAACACGATAATATTCATTATTTTAGGTCTTTCTTTCTTCTTCGATGCCGAACTGGACACACTAAAATTACCCACTCTTATCTCCTCACAAATGACAATGCCCCTTTCTGTGTAGGTTGTAATGAAAATTTTACTGTCAAGCATTTTCTTCTTGAATGTCATGATTTTTCACAGGCCCGTAATAGATTTTATTCTGTAAATTCACTCAAAGAACTCTTTGATACAATTCCATCAAAAAACATAATTGATTATTTGAAAGAGATAAACTTGTATTCTAGGATCTAATTGGCTCATTTCTATTGTCATTTACAAAGTTTTACATAACATTTTAAGCCTATTATAGCATTCGGCACGATATGGCCAGTTATGTGTTGACGTAGTGTAAAAATCAAAACAAACGAAACGAAACTTTCTTTAAAGAATTTGAATTTTATTAGTGTTCGAAATTAGCAGTAGTACCTATTACTAAATATCTCCACGGGCTACCAACTTTTCATAGTTACAAGCCCAACCCAGCTACTGTATTTTCAGAGGCAATATAAACACCGTTTTGAACAAATGAATTGTGCTAGTGAAATGTCTTTTGGGCTAGTAAATATTCCAATCTGGTAATCTGACCAGCCTAGTGGATTCAAATCCGAATTTCTTACACTGTTTTATTAATGTTAAGTTAAATTGAAATTTTGACTTTTTGTCTACAGAAAAATATGGTAAGTGAGTAGATATTAGCTTCAAAATGGTATCGATAAAATATGTTTTGAACTAGTGATGCAATATTTTAATAATTGATATTCGAAATGAATTTTGTGTCTTGAAGCACATAAACAATGTAAACAACATAAGATGGACACTTGAACAATACTATATTATTTTATTGATACCATTTATGAGTTTTATTGTGTAGTCTCTTGAAAAGTGCCAATTTAGCTATGTTTCTGAAATATATATCAAAACAGTAAAAGGGATTCTTTTAGAAAAATTGGATTCAAAAATTTCATAATGTATTTAACAAAGAATGTCATTCTCAATATACCAAGATTATTGATTTACTCCGAAATGAATATATTTGGGTTTTCCCAGATTATCATGTAGGTACAAATAAACCTATCATACGGAAAAGTTAAAAAATGCTTCCAATAAAACGAACATGGTCAAAACAAGACTTTTCCGGCCCTGGCGCTGTTGCAGTTTTTAACTTAAAAGAATCTATCTAGCAATGTTGGCATTGGTCTCCATTCTACTACATATATGTAGAATTTAGGTGAATAGTATCGTTATTGTGTCTGTCGTAAGTAGTTAGGTTTTGGGAATTATTAACAGAAATCCTAGACAAAGCTTATATTAATTTTCTTTTTTTGGTATTGGTTTTCTGCTCTAGCTTCTGTCTGTGAGTCATACTTTATTAATTAAATATTAAATATGCAAGATATCATTAAAGTAAAAATGTTATTTTCAGCTTTGAACGTCCAACTTTCACTTTTTACTTTGCTTAAGACACATATGTACTTTAGTGAAGTCTTCAAGTCTTATTCAAGCTTCTGATTAAAATAAAAACAATAACATGAATTGTTAGTATGGCATAGACATTCTGTTGACTTTAATTAACACTTGTGTTTCCCACTAGCAAATCTTAAAATTTTGAAAAGACAGCATCAATATAAATTCACTGATTTAAGCTTATTTATGTAGGTAGACATCTACTTTAATTGAAAAAAAATAATTATGTATAAAACCATAAAATTATGATGTTCGAAAATCACATGCTTATTTAATTGGATGTGTCACTGCATGTTTTCAATGTTTATAGGCTATGTTGAGTCACTTCGTGTGTTACAAAGCTGCAACTTGTTGGTTGAACTGGTTAACAAGGCAAAAGGAGAGACCAAGAAAGTCACCATGAACCTCAAAATTAAATTTGATGCTATCGCTGTAAGTGCATACAACAAGGAAGTTACAGACGACACGCTGACAGACCAGAGTTGGTCTAGCTTGCCCCTGGACACCTCACTCCTCCCCAGAAAGTGAGATTCATGGAGCTGCTTGCTTCAGGTGTTCCTGATAAGGTTGACGAAGGTATGATACTGTTTTAATTTTGCACATATTAATTTTGCTTATATCTAAAATGTTTTATAATTGTAAAGAGAAAAAAAGATAAACATTTTTTGTGTTAAAAAGTTTATGTTACACTTTTCAGTCAAATTCAATTGATATATATATTGAATACTTTGTGAAATACAAAATTCATGCTATTTTTAATTCTATCTAGTGCATTTCAAAACCAGAAATGCACTGAGGATCAGTATGCAAATTTGTTCTGGAATCCGCCTTTAGACCCTAAAAATGATGAATGACATTCAAAGAGTTGATTTCTAAATGAATTTCAGTATTGAATACTTTGTGATATACAATTCATGCTATTTTGAATTTTATCTAGTGCTTTTCAAAACCAGGAATGCACTGAGGATCAGTATGCAAATTTGTTCTGGAATCCGTCTTTAGACCCTTAAAATGATGAATGGCATTCAAAGAGTTGATTTCTAAATGAATTTCAGGGCGTACATCTCCAGCACTAAGCCAATGTTCAACGGACAGCCATTTGTCAGAACAGTCAAGCCTGTCAGCTAGCCAACATGCTGATGTACATGGATTAGGTAAGCCTATTGAAATGTATCTTTTGGATAATGTATATTGATTAAAAAAATGTGATGGAGTATCATGATAATTTTACACAAAAATGCATAACATCTCTTTTGAATCAATATTTGTTAATTATGAAACAATCTTTTCTACCAGTGACTATACGGACAAATACATCGCTGTTGTAGTTCTGATGTAGGAATCTAATCCTGAGGGTGTTCAGCTACTCAGTGTTTACAATATTTTTTCCTTTGAGTAACATCATTATGCACTACAAATGACAAGTGGTGCAATTTATTGTGTATTTTATCACTGTTGTCATTCCGTCTTTGTTTATGACTCATGATAAATGGCTTTTCATCAAATTGAGCACTCCCAATGCCTTACATGGATTTCTTCTTTTATTCAGTGAAGGGCTCCGTCTCGTGGACACATGAAGCCATTATGCTACTTATAGACAGACGAAGAGAACTAAACCATCTCTTCGAAAGTAGCACAGTGACTTCTTGTCAGGCATGGCTATATGTGGCAGCTGACCTTAAAGAGAAGGGTCACGACTACTCCTGGGAAGATTGTAGGAAGATGGTCAGTTTGAAAAATACCGGTAGGTAATTATCTATTTAATTCTCTTTTAAACAGATTTATGCAAAGACCTACACGGTTAAGAGCACTGAAGATATGATCACTTTCTTCAGGGTGTTTTTATTACATTCTCTTACAGTTCAGTCGACTGGAAATTTCACTTTAACTCCTCCATAATTACTCTTGTGCAGATGTAGTTTCACTTATTTACGTTTATCTTATGTTTAAACAGTAAAGTACTAAGCTTTAAAATTTTCTTTTGTAAACATTAAAATGATAGTTTGATTATTTTCAGTCACAAGACTATTCAAGAAAAAAAAAACACAATGCAACTGGTAACAGTAGAAACAACTGGAGATACTACGAGTTAATGGACGACTGGCTTGCTGATGATCCAGCTGTCATCCCAAAGAAAGTGGTCAGTTCCATGATAGCAGTTGTAGCTACCCTAGCTCAAATGGGACACATACATTATCCAATGGAGGACAGAGTGTCTCATTCAGTGGAACGCAGCCTGAGTCTTTACTAGAAGAGACAACTGCTGATATGCAATCAACAACCACGCCAAAACTAAGAAAAAGACGCCCACCGCATACGATGATGAACCGCCACAATGGTTTGCTGAATACCAGCGCAACCAGCAAAAGATGCACGAGGAAAAGATGGCGTTAGATACCCGTCGTGTTTCTGCCTTAGAATATCTTGTTAAATTGCTACAGAATCAACAGTTGAAATAAGTTAAAAATGTAAAAAAGTGCTTTAAAGTCCTTGAATTTGATTACTGTCTTGAAAAGTGCTTAAATTTGCTATAAATATGCTTGAAAATGATTGAATGAAATAGTGTTGATAAAAGTCAACAGTTAACAAAATTTTAAAACAAAAGATCCAATTTAGTATCAAAATCAATGAAATGTTTGCTCAATGTAAAGGGACAAATTGCAGTTTGTTTTAATTAATTTGTATTTGATGCATTCTTTGTTGTTCTTCTATAAAACCTTAAAATTTGGGCTAGAAAATGTGTATAATTCAAGAAAAAGTGATGAAATAAACTATCCTTCTAAGGTTGAATATTGTGTCGATACATGTGCAACAAATGTGCTTAAAATGGGAATATGTGCTTAAATAGTGCTTAAAAAGAATTTTGACATTGGATGTCTGTATGAACCCTGGATTGTTTTAACCAAACACTTTTCAGTGACATCTTGCTTTTTAATTCATTTACACAGTTGGGTCAAACAATTTTTGATGTAATTGTAGTCATTATTGAAACTGTCTTTTGTTATTTTAATTATGCAGAACTATATATAATATGTTTTAACTACAATAAATGTTTTTGTGGTATATTTGATTCATTTAATTATTAAATTCTTCATTTCCTTGGAAACCAACCAGTACTGAGGGATTTCTTGCTTAAGAATTTTGGCTTAGCTTAAACCTGCAACCAACAGATTAAGTAAAATGTTGTAACCACTTCACCACTTTATAAACTGAGCTGCCACGAGATGCACAAGGGAGAGATACAATGCCTTATTTGGGAACAAATTCTCTCGGCATTTTAAGTGAGAGTTCAGGCATGTCCATTTTCCCTAAATGGTACTAGTAAATATGGGGACAAACTGTACGAAGAATCACCCAAGAGATGACACTGTCCTGTCCCTTCTGTCTGTAGCTTGTCACTCAATGGGCAGTTCCTGAAAACCCGAGAATCATGGACGGAACAAGGGTAAGCACAGTATACATCCAAAAACCTTAATTTGCTGTCACAAACACCCTGAAGGTGGAATGCTGGCCAACCTTTCCTACATATATATGAGTCTCTGAATTCTGATGGCCCTGGAATCTTTATGTAGGTCTCATTAACTGCTCCAATCACTCCTGGAAATCCTGCTCTTTTAGCAAAACCCTCAGCAATATTTCCGTACTCCCATCTGTCAGGCCAGCATACTAAAGTTGACATGACTTCTTCACTGCTTATAACTCTGTAATTGTAATGAAAAACTTTTAAAATCAACAAAATAGCTGATAACTCTGTCATTGTAATGAACAACATTTAAAATGAACAAAATGGCTGACAACTAAATAAAACCTTTTTTCAGGGAAAAAAAATCTAGCTCCCTGTCTTTAAGAACTGGAACATTTTTTATCAACAGACACACAATTGTTTGCACTGATGCAATAACTGCAATACTAACTTAGCTTTCACTTTGAGTTTTTTTTAGATGTTTTGAAGTTTTCTCCCTTTTTCAACATTAAATATAAGGAGAAGGTGTTGTCATCAGACAGCCATTGTTTATAAAAGTATGTTGAGGAACATATAGAAACAATATAAATTTCTTCATCAAGTCATTCAAAATACTACAGTTTAAATACATCACATACCCGACCAGTACATTAAGTACTAGATCTACATTAAATGTCAAAGTTTTTGTTCTAAACAGGCAATTTGTCTATTAGCTAGTTCCTTTTGGCAAAGAGTCAACTTTTTGGTATTTAATTATTAAACCTTTTGCAACCATAACAACTGTTAGAGTTTCACTTGACGGGGATTAATTTTATTTACACTGTCTCGTTTATAGGAACATGGTGGGGCTAAAAGTGAGGTTTGGTGCACCTTTAACGGGTTAAAACTCCCCAGCAGTATTTATGCTGCTGACCGTTCCAAGGCGGCGCCCGTCTGTGTTCCTCAGATGTATGTACGTGTTGTTTTATACTGTTTTGGTGGCACTTTTGTGTCTTTTGTTGTTTTCTCGTCTACGGTAAGTATCTTCCCCTTTGCCCTTAGTTTTTATTTATTTTATTTATATACCCCCCCTTCCCCGGGTCTTATGTCCCCTTCCCCTGTGCCTTTTGACTTTATGGGCCTAATATTCAATCATTTTTTGCTTTTTATCAGTTACTAATTATTTATTCTTAAGTAGTGGTTTGCCTGCCCGTGTTCTGCCTTGTACCCTGTCCTGTTTTTGTTTGGGGTCCTCCTGGGCTCCTTGCCACTGACTCTTGTTACTGGGTCAGATGGGGGCTGCGTTCATTGAACGCCGCCTTTCCTTGTTGATCTTGTTTATCATATTTTAGCCCTATACCAACTCTGTACAGGTCAATCCGACATACAGTGTAGATTGTTTCAATGGGTTTACAATAATATCTTAAAGGGACTCCACTGAGGTTTTGACATGACGGGACTGGAAATATTTTTTTGAGAGTTTTAATCCATTTGATGTAGATCTATACTTAAAACTTATGTGCAAATTTTCAGATCATTAGCTCGCTACGTTTTTCCAGAATAATTATTATAAGAGTAAAATATGACCCAAAATTTAAAAGCGTTTAAAAGCTTTTCACTCAAATCGGACTAAAAAAAACACAAACATATGCTTTTCATTGTATTTCTTGTATATTTCTTGGTTATATTTTATTTATATTTCTGTTTTAAGTGATCATGTTTATCTATATGAAAAATTAAAATTTTATGTTTTTAGGCTTATAAAAAATGTTGGGCTTTCTTTAGGGATTCTGTATTTATCAATTGTAAATGTAATGTGACATGAAAGTAGTGCAACATTTTTTTGTTTGTGTCACTATTGTAGTCAATACTATTATCTGATAATAAAATATCAAAGCATGTACATTTTCTTTTTCACCTATAATGCTACTCACTTTCTACAAATATCAACAACTTATCATTGTAGGAAAAATTTAAATTTACATGTAAATAAGCCAAATCGACTTTATTTTTCAAAATGTACGTTACATTTTCGCGAAAAATGGTATATCATGTTAACCCATTACTTCATGAGCATTTTGTGAAAAATGGCTGTTTTCATTGAAAAGTCTCCCGTTACAAGTTCAAATTGCTATAATACTATAAAAACTGCTTAAACACTAATCAAACTTGGTACAAATGTTCACTGGACCATTGCCCTTGCGACAACATGCTCAGGCTTAAATCTTCTGTTACCATGGCAACGAGGGGAAATCTCAAAATTGCCAAAAATCACTATTTAGCGTTGATTTTTTCCATCAAAATTGATTTCAAAGTGCTGCAACTTCTCAATGGATTGAGATAGAGTCAAACGCTTTTCAGCGTTGGTTACAAGGTACCTTATGATCAATCTTGGGTCATTTATAGCCTCTCACAAGTCCAAAATTTTCTTGGCGATGAGGGGTACTCCGCCCCCTTCAAACCCCCAAACAGAAGGTGGCACATCCTCCTTCTGGCAACCCCCTGATATATCTTTTGGTTGGGGGGCCGCACCGAAAAAGAGGTCACTTTTTTAACAACATTTCTCAAACAAAAATAAGTGTATTGGGCCTAAATAAGGAATTTTTTTCACCATTTGAGACAACAAAAGGGGGGGGGAAACGCGTTAAAAGGCGTGTATATAACGTAATGGGTTAAACAAGAAAGGCATTGATGCAAAACATCAAAATGCGTCCAAGCAAGAAATGCTCAAGTGGCGATGAACTAGTAGACATCTGATGACCTATTCTTTTAAACTTTTTAATGGTTAATTGGATTTTACCAGAATTGTACATGTTTACCATTGATAAATGGGCGGATGAAAGACATTGTTCATCATAAACTTTGGACAGCTTGTTAAAAATTCAAATTATTAAATGTATTTTTTTTTTTTGGAACATACAAAACAGTAGTCAAATTTGTACACAAAGTCTGTTTTTATTATAATTTTCACAAATATTCAAACAGCATATAAAACAGTAACAAAAGAGACTTACATACTCGTTATATAACTGGCATTTTCTCTATCAAATTAACAAAAATGGTTTCTTTTTAATAGTTGTTATGCCTTTGACTTAAGATACATTAGCTATATTGTAAGTCTCAGATAAAAACTATAAGAATCTTACACTGGTTGCCGGTAAAGAGCGGAATATCTAGCTGGAGGGTAAATGTTTACGGCGTTAACGAGGCATATTTTGTAAGAGTGATTATTGGAGGGACAGTTTACATGACCTTACGAAAGAAATTTATTAAAGAAAAAGATTCCATCACACAGTCATTGCTGAAAGAGGTTTACATATTTTTGAATCGTCTTGCTGAAAACAGTAACAGATTAATTTGTTATTTTTTACCAGAATCTTGAAGCATGGATGAATGAATGCTGTAAATTTGATGCAAGTAACATGTATAATTAATGTTTGAAAGGTTTATTTTATTCTAGATGCTACGGAGCTGCCTAAAGATTAATCCTTAGGCCCACTTGGTCACTCCTTGTTTTTTCAACAAATATTTGGAAAACATATTAAGAAAGTAAACTAGGCATTTAAAGCTGGCATTTTTGTCTCTAATTAAACGGTAATGCTGTTCATTATTATAAGAGATTTTTTATCGTCTCGCCTTGAAAAAGACGACATATAGGGTTTTCATTTGTCGGCGTCGTTGTTTGCGTCCCTTTAAGCTTGTCCGGAGCATAAGTCAGTCACTATAAGAAGAATTGACTCCAAGCTTGGTATGCATGCTTCTTATAATGATCACAAGAATCATTACTCTGCACTTCTAATTTTTGAGTTATTGCCCTTTGTTAATTTTCATACTTTTTGTGTTTACCATTTTTCTTTTGTCCATGGGCCCGGATTTGAGCCATAAATCCTTTCGATTAACAGCTAAAAGTAAATCCGCATTCAAGAACTCCTTTCGATTTCTATATTGGTTTCCCCGTTGGTGATTCGCAGCATGTCATATTAATGAATGAGAACCGGAAAGCAGTTCTGCTGTTACACAAATTCGAAAGCTATAAATAGCTATAAATGTTCTAAGGTTATAAATTTGTTATTTCCCTTTTTTAGTAGTACATGAAATTATAATTTGTTACATTTTGAAATACATTTACACACAGCATATCAAGTATACTATTAGTGATTGAATTTGTCAATATAAAGAAGATTTCAGGCAAAAGATTTTAACAATTTTGCTTTTAATAATTACTTTTAATTTATATTTATGAAATTAAATGTTAAATAAAAACATTTTGATATATTGATTGTTTTGAAATAATTAAACTTTAGTATATAATGTTACATTTCATTAGCATCATTGGTACAGCATACCACTTTGTGATAATGGTAAGACTGGTGACCTATTCGGGGGGTCCGTACTCGACAGCGAAAGCTGCATTTTGTAGCCTAACGAGCGGATGGACCCTCATTAAGGTGATTCCACTTTGTCAGCCAAGTATGTTTTCACAAAGTCTGTGCAAAGTAATAGTAGGCCAAAATTCATATAACAACAAACCTCACATTGTTATATGATGAGCCATTTGCAAGTACACTTCCAATTCTATTTTTAAAAGACTATTTCAAACAAAAATAAAAATGATAACAATAAGAAATTTACCTTGAATGGGCTACATTTCTGAAGACCAAAAACATTCTGTTGCAAATCTTTATGCACATTTCATGAATGGCAAAATCATTTTAAAGTCTATTTTAGTGCAAACAAATGCTATTTTTTGCAGAAAATACAAAAAACTTTAAAAAACATAAATCTTAGGAAAGTAGTTTATCTGACCTTGAAAAAACATGGCCTCCATGACATGTATAAAAAAGTAGTACCATGAAAATAAACATCATTTACCTATTTCTTGTGTACATGACAAACAGACACACTTCACTGTTACACATAAAAAGGTTAGATTTTAAAGTTTGATTGTGTTTTCATTTTAATTAAAGTTCATAAGGCTATTAATGATGATTGTTTTCTTGCACTACTTTTTTACAAAAAATAATGGAGGTCATGTGCTTAGAAGGACATGAGATACTGACTCCATTTTAAGTTTTGAAAGATTTTTGTATTTGCTGCAAAAAAATAGCTTTTGTTGGCACTAAAACATACTTTTAAAAGGATTTTGCCGTTCATGAAATGTGCATAATAACTTTGCAACAGAATGTTTTTGGTCTTCAGAAATGTAGCACATTCAAGGTAAATATTCTTATTGTTATCATTTTTATTTTTGTTTATAATTGTCCTTAAAATATAAACCTGGAAGTGTATTTTCAAATGGTTTATCATTTTCCAATAAGAGCTTTGTTGTTATATGAATTTTGGCCTACTTTCACTTTGGACAGACTTTAGTTAAAACAAACATGGCTGACAAAGCGAAATCACCTTAAGCA